TAAAAATTTTAATATCTACAGAACAACTTTATCTAAGTTTTTTCTTTGATTTCTTTGGCCAAACTGTTCAATTTACACCTTAACACAAGAATAAAATGTGTTTTAATATTATTAATAAAAACCAATAACTTCAAGCTAAACCCACAAAAATTAATATGCAAATATTTTTATACCTTATGAACAACTCTCCTTCAGTATTTTGCCTGTTTAGTTTAACTAAAATATTGAAATTATGTTGTAAAATAAATCTCTATACAGTACAAAAAAACATGTTTATTATGTTCACAACTTTATGATAATATTCTTTTACATTTGAAGTTATGAACTGCTATTGAAAAAATATTTTAGCTTTATTAATGAATAAAAGCTTAAAAAAATATGAAAAAGATGTTTATTATTATATGTAATGGTAAACAGTAAACAAATAATTAATTAATGTAGTTGATATCATAATAAAACAATCAAATTTAGAGAGTTCAGGTTAAAATCCTAGACCTCCTGGTGCAGGTTAAGATTTCCTTTGAAAAAGCTTATTAAATTCATTATTATTATACTAATGGCCAAAGTCTACAGATTTATTAATAAGACTCTAACTTTGTTATGAATGTTTTACCAATAAGATTTATTATAGTTTGACAGTATTTTATCAAGAACTAAATTTATTATTATGCATCATTTATTTGTCAATAGTCAGATCAATATAGCAAACATTCATTTGCTTGATTATATATTGCTTCACTTAAAGCTTTAAATTATGGATTGGCTGATTTTATAAAATAATCAATATGGCGATATAAATATTACAAATTAAAAAATTCGATATTTTAGGTTAAGCCGCTCCAACAAATAGTTTCGTTTAACATCACATGATATAAAAGAAGTTAGGGAAGGAGGGTTAAATTTAAACATAATAAAATTTTAAATACATATATAAATCACATGATTTGTTAAACTTGTTTAATTGATCTTACAAAATTACAAATACCATATTTGTAATACTTACATGTGAAAAAAATAATCTCTCTCCTAATTCTGCACAAAAAGAAAGGTTTATCAAACAAAGAAAAAAAAGAAGAGAAAGAAATATAAGCGATACCCTTTTCTTTTACAATTATATCTATCAAAATATTGTATTTATTTGTGACAGTATATGAAAATGAAAAATCTTTAATAAAATCAGCAGTGGTTAGTTTTGAAGAGTTCAGAAATTTTGAAGATTTACTAAAAGCAGCATTACATCTAAAAGAATTGCTTTTCGAAGAAATGTTAATTAAAATTAATTTTCAATATAATAATTCTTCAGTTTGGCATCCTATATTAAGTGGTCTTGATAAAAATTTGGAAGTGTATTCTCAATTGAAGGCGCAGCATGTCTGTTTTATAATAGATTCAATAATAAATAATCCTGATGAGTTATCAGATAAAAGAATTTCAGCATTTGATCTCATGATGGTGCAACAGCATTTAAAAAAACTTCTGCCACCTTATAACACCAATTTCGTATAGATGTACTCTATAATGATTTTTTAAAAGTTTTGTAAGAAAGGAAATTGGAATGGCTGAATAATAGTCATATGACTATTAGACATTCTTTTATTCGTAAAGTTATCGATTTAGTATAGTATTTGGATTCTCATCTTGGAAAATTGGAGAAACGTGACTTAAAACTACTGATAATTATAGTAAAACTCCCTGTATATGCTTCTGAAAGTTACTATAATCTTTACTATGATACTATGAAATATAAAAAAAATGAAATATCATGAGAAAAACTTAAATCATTTATTAAAGCATTGATTTTATCTATTCAACAACCTTGGACAAATTTATCACATTAGAAAGAAGTAATTAAAGATATTTATAATCTAATAAAAATAGCTCAAGAATATGTTAATTATCTTCAAGATGTTAATAATAGAATGCGTACTATATATACTAGTCTGATTCCAATAAGAAATAGACATGATAATATTACAGTTGAGGATATCAAAGCTGTTGATTTATATCCACCTCAATATGAATCTTTAGCATAACTTCTTCATGAGTCTAATAATTATGATCTCTTGAATATAGATCATTTACTTCCTTCTAAGCTACAAGATACCTATCTCTTTTTTCAAAAAATATGTGCTGATGTATTCTTCACACTGTATTGCTATTATCATAGTAATTATCTTGGTATATTAAACTTTGTATAGAAAATTTCCTATTGAATAACTGTGATAAGATACGAGAAGCAAAAAATATCACTGCAGCATATGACCAAATTCTAATCTATTATACAAGACAAATGTGAAAAAATGCGATAAATAAGATTTATTTTATTTGTAAATTTTTTGTAATAAAACATTTATTGAACTTAAATATATTATTATATATAATAGTATTCTTTAATAGTTAAAATATCATGTTCAGTTTTGCAAGTACTATATTAAGATTTAATAATCAATGTATCAACGTCAGAGAATAAAATTAATAATAAAACACATAAACAAATAAAATTGATGTTAGATACCTAGGATCCTAATATCATTATAAATCTTCATAAAATTATTGGTGAAAAAGGAATAAAATTTGATGTCTTTTAGAATGAAATGCAAGATTATTTTAATAAGGTAATAATTCTAAATGATAATCTTAGATTTTATATTATAAAATATTTACAATGTATCTTTTAAAATTTTAAAAGGTTACACCTGCAGT